AACATAGATAATATATTAAAATTTATGGCCATTTTAGTTTATTGTCATGCAACATTAAGAAAGGTTAAAAATATGCGATCATATCATTAGAGATATACATCGTCGGCGTCATATACAATTCATCAAACTAAAATAATCGTTGTATTTTCAATTTTTAACAAGAAATAATTAGTCAGATGAAATCATGCCTAAGAAAAATTACATAACTGAATATAATTCAGTTTGATAAACATAAATATATAGGTCATTTATTATCGCTTGATATTTAGAAATATTTTCATTAGGTCAAGAGTGGTCAAGACTTTTGAATAGAATATTAGTTATCATATCTATATTACGACCGTATTGACATTATTGATGCTCTTATTATGATACATTAAGCTAATTAAAGTCTCTACGTATATTATTTCGACATATAACCACTTGGAAATTCACATGGAAAAATGTCAAACAAATTATTTTCTAAATCTTTTGTTTAGAAGTACTAACCTGTAGAAACTCAATAAAGCTTATCTGTGCTTAGATAGATAAATTTACGTTCAAATGCATTATGGTTCTTAGAGTAATAAAAATGTTATTATTGATATCTTTTTATACTCAACGAATTAAAGAATTAGAGCAAATCATTCGTAGTGTTAGGCGCCAAATATTAAATTTGTAATATTTTTCACGACGATATGCTCAATTGACTTTAAATAATTTCTTAATAATCTCATACGATTAATTTCCGCGTAATTACGGGATTAATATCAACACATGATATCCGGAAAGTTATCACCGGGTTGTTTTTACGTAATGTCGTCTGAGCTTGGCCTTAAAATAAAATATGAATAATATGTATATGCATTTCAAATTATATATATTAAAATTATAAATTTGAAGTTTCATAAGGAACCAAAAAAATTAAATTCTAGTTAAACATGAATTAGGTATTAGGTAGGTAGGTGGTAAAATGTAAATTAATTCATTTTTTATATCTTACAAAGATGGCAATATAATTTTGTGGATGTATAAATTAGGAAAAAATAAACTAGACAGATGGGAGGACAAAAGAGCACATATTTAAGTGATTTTTTTTGTTTTCATGGGTAGTCGCCGTCGTCTCCGTAGCCGTTGCGAGTGTTGCGACGTATCATAAGCAAATAAATATGAGTTGTCCAGGTTTATTGGCTTATTGCTCTGCAAAAATTTAATAGTGACTTACTGTCGGTACACAACATCTAAACCATTGAATAAGAAGTATAACTACATAGGAAAACCTGAAGTTGGTGTAAGATGTGTTGCATACACTGCAAAGTGGTTAATTACCACAAATATTGAAGGATATTTGGCCTCGGGCAGTAAATAATGACTATTTTAAACAGGGAAATCAATTATACTTAGGGGTCCTTTGTTTTCCTTGTTTATCAGAGTTGAACGGTGTTGTCATATTTACCAGATCCTTATATGGAGGTAGGTAAAGTTTGATTGCTTATTATGTAAAGATAATGGTCCTTAGAACAGTTCTTGTTGTTTTCTTATTAGATTAAACTACATTTTTTACTTTATTTATTGTTCCTTATGATCTTACATTTCAGATCGATCCTCCCTTACATAATATTGTTATTGGCATTGAATAAAAGCTTATTGAATATTTTAATCTAGTTTATTCAAACTCAAAGCGCTTGCCAAAAATCTGGCAACGTTGAAATTTTAAAGAAGTAAAGAAATCTGTGGTTCACTTTCCCCCACAACAGAGGGACGACAGAATCCTGGGCAGAATTTCTTATTTCATCAGTTAACACGGGCGTTATACTTCTTTAAGGTGCTTATTCAATGATCTAAACTAAATCTGATGGCTCTTGAATATATCTATGTGTTGAACACATCGGTGGACGGGCGAACACCCTTTTTTACATTCCCTCAATATTTTGCTCCGTAGCATTTTACCTTTTGCTTTGTCCTTCCCATCCTTTATCTTCTTTTATATCTTCTAGCGCCGACCTGTCTCATTGAATTCTTGGGATGAGCGTTGAATTTGTTTCCAAACAATATATGTCCCTGCTGTACTGTCAGACATTCTCTCTAAAATTTCTAATGAACGCAGTCTTCTCTTTTTTATAATCTCTAGGATACTGTTTTCATAATAGTTCTAGTGTAATTTTTGTTGGTTGTTTTTTCGTAATAGTCTTGTAACGAAGCACTCGGGTTATGTACCGGAATTTATGAACACACCGTACATATATGGCCGCTACCCGCTTGATTGATGGTATCTAGAGGCGCTTCGTTACGAAAAGTGTTGTTCCGGAATTATTTATTTGTAGGAGTTGAAGACAGAAGGTACCTGCTTTAATTAGTGGAGCCACCCGATAAGGGAAACGAGACCTTCTAAACAGCGTACAAACTTATTTAAATTTTGTTTCTCAGTTTTTTTGTAATAAAACCGGGCACAATTTTTATAGGTTGTACACAGAAAAATAAGGTCTTTCGAATAGCTTAAAAAACATTTTTATTTGTTACTCAGTTGTAAACGTTGACTAACAAGACAAAACGCAAACGGGTAAACGTCATCTTTAAACGCTACTGACTTGTAAAACTGACAGCCGCCGTGTAAAAATTTTACAAGTTAGTAATCTAGTAATTTCATTGGCCAGAATTAATGCGAAGTCTCTGTTACATGGATAATATGATATTTTAGACATTTCTTCGAGATCAAGTTAAGAACTAATTATTTACGTTTACAAATGAGTAACAAATAAAATATTGTACATTATACGCCAGGTAATAGTTTTTACTGGCTCTAGGAGATGACAGGCTCGCCTGACGGCTCGCCAGTCAACTTCTCCTATCGCCAGTAAAATCTCACTTACCTGGTTAATAATGTAAAATACTATAGGTTGCTATTTGAAAAACAAAAGTTCGATGCCGTTGCGGCGCTCGAAAATGTTTTATCAAAAATCCGGCTCGTTAGTTTTCGTTTCAGTATGCTTAATATACATGTCCAAAATTTGAACAAAATTCGTCGAGCCGTTACCTCGAAAAATTGCCAACTGACGCACGTACGAACCTACGCACATACCTACAGACGGAAAAATGTTGTTCTTTAAAAGTTGCTTAAAATGATCTAAAACGTCGACATTTGATGAAATGTCCAAAAAACGGTGATCACAATAGCCACCTACCTCAAGCTAGAAGCTATAATGATAAATATCATTTGAAGCAGTGCATTGGATAACAGTCTCGCTGGATATCACAACCATCCGCCATCGTAAAGAACCGGTCACTTAATTTAGGCATTTTACCTAAATAGTGATCCTCTGTTTTGGTTCACACGAATTCTAAGAATAAATCTTGTCCCATTGAACTTTTTGCTTCTTTGAAATATGTAATTTGCGAATGTTTAACTCGACCTGATTTGGCAAAGACAAAAGTGCATACCCCTAACCATTCTATACATTAACTGAATAATTATCATAGCGACCTAATTTTTATAACCATGAACGTTATTGTTATTAGATTTTATAGGAAATCCCATTTAAGAGGTTTGTTTATGCGTGCAGATGCTCTACATTCGTTAATTCATATACAATCATCATCACTTAAACTCAGATTTGCTATTTCAATATCTGAATTCCATGTGTAAACGTAATTTGTACCGACAGAAAAAATCTGCTTTAACGATATACACATAGAAAATGTGATGAGAAGAGTGCGAAATGTGTGTACATTACAGAAATTTAGAACTGTTAAATAGATACGGAAGAAGACAATAAATTAGGTTACATCGTCAAACCGAATTTGATCAAATCAATTTAAATAGATTATTACCACGACCACAACTGTTACTTAAGTAACAGGACACTTAGTCAAATATTTGCTTAGCTTATTAATGGAGCACATTTCTAAAGATGTAACCAAACTACCTACATCATTGTATGTGTTAATAACACATTTAGTATGCATAACTTGGAACTGTTGTTGATATCATCCAAATACACTTAACAAAATGCCATATCCAAATTTATCCCTGACTTAAATATACGAATTTGATGGGTTTAATAAGACAAACATATTCAATCCGTTTATTTCAGCGTCACGCGTCAAAGTAATGATGGTGTACTAAGTATTGTGAAAATTACGAAAAAGGATGTACGACTGAAAAGTTCACCAACCCAAAAATGCGTATTGGGTTGGGGTAGGGCGAAAAACAATATTTTGATGGTGCTCCAATTCGTTATATTAATTCTATTTATGAGCATTGTCAACTAGACACGTGCTAAAATTGGTACAAAAAATTAATTCAGATTCACTGTGCCCACAGAAGAGATCAAATGTTATCATTAATTATTACATACAAATTTAGGTTAGGATACATCGAAATTGTAATTCTAACAGCTAATGTTCACCAATTAATCAAGTAAATTAATTTTCTTATTAATTATATTTCTTTACGGTGAGCGTTTTGCGAGAATTGGGGGTACATATTGAAGAAAATCTGCACTCCTTGAGGTTAATCTCAGATGTAGATAACCTCTCTAAGTAATAATGTACCACATTCATTAATAAAATTGTGCAAATCGTTCCGGAGATGCCCACATATAAAATTAATTCGCCTAAACTAATTACATGCAGGTATTTTATTTGTGCAAGAATGATCTAATACGCCTACTTCAAATTAATCTTATGATAAATAAGTAATTTTTCCAGTACTGTTTCATATACGAAATGTTTAGGTTCACTTTTGGCCACTTTAACGGCTCTTCTTTTTATTTGAATAAAACCATTACTGTCACCGTTTCCAAAAGTTAATCACTTAATTTACACACTGCAATTCGGGCATAAATTTTACCGAACACAATTTTAAAATATAAAATTTTTCATCGATCGATTACTTTTAAGTTAGGTAATGCAAGAGAAAAATTAATCACAATGAGTACCTAACTATTTTCTCATTACCTTTATCAACGGCAGTAATTAATTAAGCGTAAGAACTAGTTTAACAAGAAATAAGTGCAACTTACCTTCCTAATTCTCTAAATTTCAAAGTCCCCATAACGTCTTATTACAAAATTATTAACTTCACTAAACACAAAATGATTTTTTGTTAATTTACCCTACTTCAGACATTTCATAACTATACGTTCAATTAAGTTCTATAAACAATGTTTGTATAATCTGCTCTAAATTTAATTTGTAATTGATACTGAAGTCGAAATTCTCATATCTTAAGTTTGTATGAAGTACATACATGAAATAAGTACTACACTTCGCGAAATATGTAAATATCGTGTATGTCACTCCGAGGTCTAACGACGACTACGCACCATATCTTAGCGCCATTACTACCCAATTCTTGAATATTATCAACAAAATGAATCAGGTTATTATAAATTAAATTAAATGATATTGGACGTCAGATGTAAAGTTTAATCAATGCAATTAATTAACGATTCAACTGTTTCAACTGTGACACAATTCAATGTGTATTTTAATTTATGGTGGTGGTTAGAGTAAGAATATGTCTATTGATAGGTGTTAAACATATTGGCACGTTTTTAATTTATGAGTAAACAAAGTAACGTACCACACAAAGAAAGTGATGCCACTTTAACGTAGAAGAAAGAGTGACTTTTAGGAAGTAGACTAACAATGGAAAGAATTTATTGTCTTATGCAAAGAACTTAATGGGCGCCCACCAATTTTTGATTGTATTTGCCTAGAAAAGTAGGTGGTCAATATTGAATAGAGACATTTTAAAGCTGAAATCCTCGAAGACTAAATAGGAAACGTTTCATCTGAAATATGCGTAATTTAATGCTAATTTAAAGGTATACTTATTTATTATACTGCAAATATTTCATGTAAGCCTCCTTACTCAGGTGATAATTGCTCGTATTGATTGGTAGAGTAATTTTGTGTTAACTTTGTGAAAGCAGTTGTTACCCTATCAATTAGATACGGAAGTATTAGTTATAATAACAACCATTTTAAAAAGCTTCTTATGATATTTAGGTCGGCAGTAAACTGTTTAGAAAAAAAACCGCAAACGATTTGGACATACTTTTTTGAGCCTCGAAGTTAGGCATCGAGATGAATCTAAAATTAACAAACACCTTTGCCATATTACGTCACCAGTTTACCTATATTCAATATAAAATTCACATAAAAGAAGGACATCTAGCACCTATAAAGAGATCATTTCATATGGCTGGTTCAATAAAGATTAGTTGTTTACATCAAACAATAACGATATTTTGGGTACCTCTAATAAAGTCAATTTAAATGGACAATGCTTCTATACGGGGGGGCAAATCCAAAACAAATTTTTAAACGAACCCAAGACTGGTGAAAAGTTCAGGTTTTTGTGCCACTTATTGATGAATAAATTTGTTGTCCTCTGCTAAAACATAGTTGACATCAGAAAGATAAATTAAATGGCCTATCAGAGTAGTTTATATACAGATTTTGAAATGTTTATTGCTAAACAAAACAACGGGCACGGCAACTTGAGGTAATATCAAAGCCGTAAATTTAAAATATTTCAAGTACACGCGGATATAAAATGGCTTTTTACGCATCTAGTGCCGTTCCTAGTAGCTGATTAATTGTTTCGATCTGAAAAGTTATAAATGACATTAATAAAATGTTAGATGTTACCACTATTTGTTATGGTGAAAGTATGTTATTCACAAGTTTCTGATGCGAGGTTGACACTGTGGTTGATACCACTGAGTTCTTTATGTCTTGTTGCATGTGATACTACAGATAAGTCAATGGTACCACCATACTATAACCATGTCATACGGTAAAAATGTATCACAGATGCGATATCTATGTATAAGTTGTGTGTACATTAAATAGGTTTCGATGAAACGAAATTTAGATCAAAATTATAATTTCCATCGATTTGTTTACGCCTACTATAGTGTGACAAAAACTAAGATGAGTTCACTATTATTTCTAATTTGGTAATGCAAAACATCTATTAGTTATGTGTACCTATATCTACATGCGACTGTCCGTCATGTAATTAATAGGTTTTCAAAAAACTGATGTTACATCAGTAATAGGTTTCTCGCACGTATCGCTTTTCTGTTTATTCTTTTCTTTATCATTACTGTTTGTAATAGACATACCTTCCACGTCATACAATATTAAAGATCTGCACAGATTTTTGATTGATTAATTGATGTAAACAGCCTATTAGTTTGCCCTAATTTTTGAAACCTATAATTTTATATAAAACCACGTGGTTAAAATTTTAAAGCAAACCACTTTTAAAGTATTCCGTATGAAAGGTTTGAGGCCAACCGTTAAAGTGGATCTTTTCGAGATAAAAAGCACTGACATCAGAAGAGCAACTGAATGGAATAAAAGTTAAAAGTGTGTAATTAAAAAGTGAAAATGAATTCGACATGTATAATTTTGGAGAAAATTCCAAATTTGAAGAGACAAACATTCTCATATTTGTAGTAAGTCGATAAATAAGTAAATAAAGATCCAAGAATCGTAGGTGTAGCTAATAAATCGCACGGCTGTTATTTTGTCCACAACTGAATTTTATTTCACAATCAACTCATTGATAGCTTCTTAACGCGTGACTTAAAATTTCCGCATCCTTCTCTCAATCAAAATTTTGTTGCTCATTAAATAAATATAAATTTTATAGCCAAAAGGACATTTCCCATTTTCCAATAGTTTTCAGCTTTCAGGGCCTTTGGTACAAAATTTCAGCCAATTCGATCTACTCCTAACAAAGTTGTGCAATTCAATAGATATCGATTTTATTGCCAAAAACGCATTTGCCATTTTTCGAATCGCCTGCAAAAGCTTTTCAGCTCTCGATACCATCAAATTTCAGCCAAAGTGGTCGGGTAGTTTCGGTTGAACCTTGTTTAGAACAATTATCCATACGGACATTTTTTAAAAACCACTTTTTTGGACTTGGGACCTGGAAACGTAAAGATCCGGTGAAATCTCAAGACCAAATTGTTGAGTGATTTCAATAACCTCTCCATTTATTGGTAAGATATCATGTAGTAATATCTAAAGGAGCAAACTTTGATACAAAAAACTATTACCTAACATGCAACATTGACATAAAACTCATCGAACGATGTAAAACCATTTTATTGAAGACGTGAGAAACTATTTGTTTGAAATGTTTGTATATCAAATAGATTTTATGTGTTCTGGGAAAGCGTGGTAGAATCTTACACCCATTTGCAAATATGAGGTATCATGTTTCTGTCAAAGGGGAGGCCTCACGGTCACACTCATTAATGTAACGTAAATTTCGTGATTTATTTATTCACAATTAATTATCAATGAATTTATACCAGTCTTGAAATAAATCAATTTGTAACAATTAATTTGGATTTATCACTCATAAGTTATAACATATAACACAAGCGAATCGATGTTGGAACTACACGCGATCAGGTTATAGCTTATACAGCTTATACAGTAAACGCCGGTCTTTCAGGAACGCTCTCAATAAAACACGTCATATTTCTTCGGAAAGAATGTGTTACATCTGCCTCAGTGTCTTATCGTCGACGACTAATCTTTCATAGTGCCTCGATGTGTATCGGGATTCTAGAATATTCGCTATATAGCCTTCTTCTTAAAACCCTTGCGTTTCGCAATATGGACGGCGCGGCGGTTGTAGTGGAAATACATCGTAGGCACCTCTTGTAATATAACGCGACCTTGATGGGCGGTACTTGCACGACGAACCCTTCTTCCACTATTGAAGAAAAAACGATCCACCGTCGTACGAAAAAGTGCCACAAGCAACGGACCAGTAGGAAAGAAGAAGGTGCCAATGTAGGTAGTCCATTTGAAAGAATAGCCATTATCGTGATGCAAGTGAGTCCACGCCAATCCACTTTCGCGGAATTTATGGCACGCTCTGGAACGCAAAGGGCCCGCTTGGGTGTGTGATTGGTGTTCGTGAAGAATCTAACGTAATCAGGTCCGCAAAGAGATGAAGTAAGGTATTTGGGTCACAATTGGGCGGTCTATAGCTAGCGAGAACTACTGTACCTTTTGGTTTTCAATATGATGAACCCACCAAATTCAAAAATACCTCACAGGTGTGTAGTTGTGGTTTTTAAAGTTTTATTTACAAACTGAGTTTTTTTTAGATTTTTGCCTTATATGAAGAGGGTCTGTGAGTCCGCTCGCCCTTCTAGGAGCAATCACAATCGCTTAATCGTCTCGCCCAGAATACGGGAGTGGCCCACCTCAGTACCTCTGACATTTAACAACCGGAGATAGAAACAATTGGAGTTGAAAATTATCGAAATCACCAAATTCAAAGTAAATCCGCCTATATGATAGTACTAATACCTTCTTTAACATTTCATTTCCAATAAAAAAATTGAAACCAAAGAATTTCGCAACTACTCCGTGGATTAACAGGTATTGGAAATTCTGCTCTTAAATGCCTACAGGAACAAGGCCCGAGAGTAATAATATTAATTCACATCATGATTCATGACAGGTAAGTTGCATTACTGCAGAGTTACGAGGTGGGGCCGAGTACTTCAATAACTTGTTGTTGAGCATGTATTACATTTTCCTGAGCACGTATAGTTTTTTTGTCAAAATCATTATCTGTTAGTTATATGAAATTTCCTCGGGAGGAGAATTTTTTTGCGATTCTGATTATGAGTGGGGTAGAGAGAAAAACCTAGGTAAATCTGAGTCCGGATTATACAGGAAGATTGTTAATTCCAAAATGACTCATGGTAATAACAAACAAATTTTTTGCTCAGGCGATAATTACAATTAGAAACATGTAATTTCCATTAAGGCTATAATATAATACTGTTTTATTTTGTGTACGTCATATAATGAAGATTAACGGTCTGCTTTCGTGTTAAAGTAACGTATAAATATCAATAGAATTTATATCTGCGTTATCAATTACCGCATTCTTGCCCTATAAAATAAAGTCCGTAATGATCCATCAATAAACTAATTGGAATTCTTAAAACTGATCCCATTCAACGAAATCTATGTTAAATTTGAATTCCATTCGTCTTTGTGATTAATGTGTATATCATAACTACATTCATAAATAAAAATGCTCGAGTTGTTTATGCTTTTTCCGTTGGTCTGTGTGTCTGGACTATTTCTGCGACTTTGAAGTGCTTTACTAAACACCTTTAGGACGTTTTAGGAGATGAACTAAAACTATCCATTTGGGAATGTTGTTGGATTTAATGTTTATGTAAGGAAAATAATCGTACTGTGAAATATTGAAAATGAATCTACTTGAAATGTAGCCTAAGCAGCGAGAATTTTGCACGTGCTAACTGAAATGTCATTTT